ACGTATTATAAGCTATTAAGTTGTTATGATTGACGAATTTTTATAAATTATATGTTCACATATACAACATACACACACACACACACACATATATGCAGGTTGTGCGTCCATAGATATCAGAACAAAAACTTCAACCGCAACTGGTTAAAGTTACAAGGTGTAATAAAGAAAAGTTATACGGCTTTGACAATGAGACAGCTACGCAGTGCATATAAATATATTTCTTTTTTATTCGTGATCTTAAATAATGACGGTTAATATAATTTTTTTTTAATCGACACTTACAATTTTCTTACTCATTTATATAATAATAACTTGTCAAAATATACGATTACTTGATTCATAAATGATATATTCATATAGTACGCAATATGAATTACAATACGACATGAATTAGTCGTCAAAGTACTAAAAGTAATTCCGAGAATAATTACTTCTTTTAAAATTTTGCTATATTACAAATTTAATCGATATCTAAAGAAAAAAAATATATATATTTGTAAAAATAGAAAAATTATTTCTTCTGTTATATAACTTCCCACATATAACTTGTTTACAGAGATAACATAAATCCAAACATATTGAACATCATCTCACAGATTAAATCCAGTCGCTTTTCTCGATATATAATAAATAAATGAATCTTCTTTAAGGGAGACATTTACATTTGGATTTTTCTGAGTTTTTAGCAAATTATGTTACATAGTGACAAACGTCACATGTTATGTTACATAGTGACTACGAAAGCGTTTCGATATACACGTCTCGCAACGGACCAGCGATAATAGTCGATTTACACGGAGGATCTTTTCCTTTCACTATTTATTTATTGCTTGGCTCGACAAATTATTGAAAACTAGATATTTGATTAAAAATCCCTAAGCTCGGATAAAGATGGCAACGTGTTTTTTATCTATGTGTTTCCTAGACAACGAGTTCCCAAGGGCAGATATTTCTAATAATGATATATGATTCTTAGAAGAAAGTATTGTGAACAATAGAGAGACACATGTGTGCATCAACAGATTTTGTTACTTCTGAAACATTTTCTACATTTTTCAGCGTACTGAGGATTGGATTAATTTTCTTTAGCATTTTGTCTGATGTGTCTGTCACGGATCTTTTCATTAATTGCGTGAACAACCAGGTGAGAAAGGTTCTGGTTCTTTATTTTTTTTTAACCTTCTTCATTAGAAATGAGAGAATATTCATCCAGAGAGAGAATAAAAATCCATATAATTTAAATTATGATTTAAAAGACAAGAATAAAATTTGTAAAATTATTGAATTTCTATATTACAAATAACTTTCCTAATTTCTTAATTGAATATGAATAAAGATTGTTGTTTATAAATTTTTAATAATTTTAAATAATTATCAGTCCTACTACTTAAAATATCTGAAAATGGGATTATATCTACAAAATATGAGTCGTCTCATCCGTAAAGCTACCTCACCTCAGAATTATTCTTTAAGATTACTATATAGGATATTCTTTTAAACCCTACCTGAAAGATACAGATTGATCAACTCGGATCACTTACTTATAGTTAATATAGATTTATAATATTATTAATATTTAACTTTATTAATATAAATAGTATAATTAATATGTTTCAACTTAAGATATTACAACTCTTCTCTCTTTTCCTGATTTACTCAAAATTTTACTTGTTGCTATTTACTTTGTGTTATTCTTCTTGTTATTCTTTGTTGGTCCACTCAAAACTTTCGTCGTTTTACCTCGCTTGATCTACTCATGACTGGCCCTCCGTTGTTTTTTTTCAATCACGTACACCCCATAGCCTTTCTCATTTCCACTCACATATGTACATACGCATACGGTAATTCTTATCGCTTTTTTGTCGTATTCCTTTATTTTGTTGCCTATCTTAGTCATGTTGCATTTCCATTTCACTCACTTTCTCAATATCTCACTCCCTTCTCTTCCTTTCACAAACAATGCATCTTACAAAGGACAGACCACACTCTGCTTGACTGCCGACTGATTTGTCTCATACACACAGCTAACTAATGCTAGAACCTTCAAACCCATATATATATAATTCATGTATTATAATTTGATCTAAGTCCACTTACACAAATATGACAAGTTTACTCTGAATAAAATGTTATTTTACATTTTCAATTTAATATTTTTCCAGACTAGTTATATCCTTACCGATTATGACATGATTTTCAGAACACTGTTTATATCTTCTCTTTCACATGGACTTCATTATATTTTAATAACTATTTTTCTTTATTTCCATTCGCATAACTGGCTGGATGAAACATACGAGAGCCAACATTTCAGATTAGCACGCGTTAAACTTATAATCCAATCTGTTTAATGCAGTCGGTCCTACTAGAAGGGTGAGAGAAAGGCTTTCGTCGTTAGCATACATACATACGTCTTCTCAGTGATGTATTAAAAGTACGTATTAAAAATGCAACAAAGAGGGAGAAAATGTAGAATAAGAGAGATATGCAATGTTTGCATTTATTTGCAATTCAAATAATTACGCTGATTTACACGATAACAAGGAAGGACTTACCGATCTGATGAAAATTAAACTCTTTGTTTTCAACCAGATGGAGATGCTGCTTGTTTATCCGAGTGTATTGTCGAAAATTGCGTTTAAAAAATATTTCATTTTTAAACGCACGATTTCTTCTTCTTTTTCTTTTTCTATTCTTTTTTCTTTTATATGAATAATAAATATTATAAAAAAAAAAAACGAATAAAATAATAATAAAAGTTTATAAGTTAAAACGAAGTTAATTGAACGATCATCTTACCGATTATCATGTCAATTTTATTGTCGATTCTTGTATTTTTAAAATTGGATCGATGATTCCAAATTTACATTCGAAACATTGTGTTACCTAGTAAATACAATATATTATCAAATGATTTGAAATACATGAAGAGCGAGAAAAATGGATACTCAGAAGGATAAAGGATACTCAGAAGGATAAAAATAAACCCTCATAGAGCTTCGCGCAACACTCTCTTAAAGATTATAAATGGTTTATAGTTAAAATATCATAGAAAAGATAAAGTAAAAGTTTAAGTGTCCAATATATCGCTTTCTCAAGTGTTGATACCGTAAAGAAAAAAACAAAAAAGAAGAAAAAAGTTCTAAAATGTAGGTGTAAAAGGATCGCTCGACTTGTGTAAACCTCGATAACCTATAGCAGGATTGACCGATCCTGCGACAATAAGGTGAATCACAGTGTAAATCACTCTTTGTTAGCTAGGATGTTTGTGTTTACAAGCTCGTTTTACGACTTTACGGTTCTAAGACTCGCAGTTCTATTTTCAACGGACACTCAACGAAAATGTTTATATACTTATCGCTGTGATAAATCATTATATTTTTGATATAAAAATAATATTAAAATAATTAATAAGATAGAGAGAAAGAGAAAGAGAAATAAAAAGAAGTGGAATGTTATAATCGTTTTTTAAATATAATTAAATCCCTCGCATGACCAACTGTTTGAAATATTGTTTTTTTATATCAAAAATATGTTATCATTTTGACTCGAATATCATTAAGACACATTTACTATTTTGTCAAAAAAGTTGCATGTACACACGTGTACATAAAGGGCTGAATGAAATATAAAAAAAAAAGAAAGGAAAAGAAAGATTATTTCAAATTAACGTCTAACTTGCTATCCACGTACGTATACTTACATATGTATGCTTTTTACGTATACATGGCACACGAAAGGGATTTAAAGAAATTAATAATTAAGATACAATTATACACATAAACTTATTAGTTTAAAGTTTTTAAACTTATTAGTAAAAATAAATTTATAGTATATGTAATCATACAGTGTATAAACATACATAGCAGTCGAAACTGTTTAATATTTAAATAAGAAAAACATACTATATAATGCCCAATATACTTGGTATAACCTTTCGACTACACAAAATAAATGCAAAATATTTTATAATAATTGTTCAATTAATTAAATAAGTTATTAAGATTTGCGCATACATAATTATGAATGTTATTTTTCGATGGAAAATTATTAAAAGAAAAAAAAAGAAAGAAAAGAAGAATAGATAGGACATGAAAATAGTTGAGCAGATCGGCTTAATAACTTCGTAACGAATTGCGATAACGAAGTTGGTTTATCTTCATAACACAATCTCATATCTTCCAAAAGACCTCTAAACTTAAAACTTGCTTCGAATTTCCGTGATGATTACGACGATTACTTAATTACCGAACTGTTCGAGAGTACAATGAAATTTGGAAGTTAACATTAAATGACGAAAGAATCGATTAAAACTTATTAACGTTACTTAAACTATGAATGATTATATTTAAAGCGATCCAACGAGATCGATTTTGTTTAAAATTCTTATTAGAAATTAACATTATTTAAGTTACATTCGAAATGAACATTAAAACGTTCTAAAGATATTTCAGTTTACTTTGATCAATATTATTCTTTAAAAAACTTTAGCGAAAAATACCGAACAAATTGAAAATAGTATTCTATTAAATAAACCATTCTCTTTAAAATATTTATCGAACGATCGTTGTCCGCTTTACGAAGACTTACTAACATTTTAATTCATTAAATAATAATAATAATAATAATAACAATAATAATAATAATACTAATAATAATAATAATAATAATAATAATAATAATAATAATAATAATAATTGATTGAATTAGTAAATATGTTTTTTAATACAATCATCTTAACACGCGAAATATAATTTTCCATGAATAAATTTAATTTATTTGATATCTCTCGTTCGATCTTGTCCTTTATTCGTACGATTTTAAAATTATTATTTTCTACAGACATAGCAAAGTTGTAATATATTTATAATATTAATACATGTACATTAATATGAAATTGGTATTTTGATCTATTTTTTTTCCATTACATACTTATTAAATATATGGTAAATAGTGTATGTACATACATACATACATACATACATACATAGATACATACATACATACACTTTGAGATATAATCTTAAAATAAAAAAATTTATAGTTAACGTTAAAATTTATAGATTAAGTTAAAAATTAATGGCTTATAAATAACAAGTAGGTAACGTGAGCGATTCGATCGATATAGGTCACACACACACACACACACACACACACACACACACATATATATATATATATATATCCTGTGACTATTCTCCATAAAATATATTAAGACTTAATAGTTAAACTTTAAGCTTAAAGATATTACATTTATTTTAATATTCAAAGAAAGAGAATTTCGATATCAAATTGTTTTCTTTCTCCACAACGATAAGTATTCAGTTCACATTTTTCCCTCAATACACGATCCCTTCTCAACTTTTCAATGTTTTATTGTTTACATTCACCGCTTCAAAATGAGATGGAAAACAATTTGAAACTCGGTTCGGATTTACATAGTATCAATGTAATGTTGAAAATTCGAATTCTCTCGTTACAAGCTATCAAAATAAAAAATAATAGAAAAATCGATATGAAAGAGGAATAGTAATAATAGTAACGATACGACGAGTGAATGATTTTTTAAACAATTGTCAATAACGTACTTCTCACAAATTTTTTTTTTTTTTTTTTTTTTTCAATGGAAGAACAAAAATCCAAAATTTACTAAAGTGTAACGACATTAGATCGAAGAGAACAATTGCAAAAAATGTAACTGTGCGTTTTGAAACAAAAAAGAAAAAAAAAAAGAAAAGAAAGAAAAAGAAAAAGTGAACTTATCGAACGGTTAACTCAAAGCGAATGTACTATCGAGACGTAGAAGCCTTGGTGATCCATGGATATCCAGAAATTGTTACAAATCCTCTTCATTATTGTTTTTGCTTGGTAGCCTTGAAGCAAGCTCGTATTGAAGACTCCTCGGAATGTCGAGTTTGAAAACTTGCTCCTTATGTTTAAGAAAATTTTTGATTGCTCTTAATGACAATTCAAATAGTGTGTACATCGGTGTCATAATATTGGCGTTCGTTCTGTCGATTCTATGTGGAAGATACTGCCTCCTTGCATTCAAACATTTTTCCAACCATGGCTCGGGAAAAAATACGTCTCTCTGGTTCACCAAATACCTGCAAAACGTTTGCTCTGTTCCTATTCTCTTTCCTTTTATTATTCGATTTCTAATAAATTATTATTATGTAACAAAATTCACAAAAAATAATGTAACGTCGTCATTTTACCATCGCGATAGTTCAACTCGTGATACTTTTTAAATCTCCATAACAAAATGCCATTTTGAAAAACAAATTTTACATTCATATATAAGGCTCTGCGACAACCGTGATATTCTTTATGGTGAAGAATTTTCATCTCAGTCTCATTCTATAAGAGATATATTATCCATTTATAATTATCCTACAGAGACGTGTCATCTGTATGATAGAAATGTTTGCGTATAGTGAAGACGAAATAATGAAAAATTCGATTTATTATCTTTTCATCTCTTTAACACGATTTAATTAAGCTTCCACACGAATAAATTTAATGAACGTATCCAACGATTAATTAACAGAATTATCTGATAATTGAGATAAAAAAAAAGGATGATTCTCGCTTTAAATGTCAATATATATTGTTACAAAGCAATTATTATAAAATAATAAAGAATTCATCGAAAACTATTCTTTATTTTAAATAATCAAAATATCAGCCAAGCTTATATTTATTGTTTCTTTATCAATAGAAGCTACCTTTTCATAAAAGTATTATCCGTATATGTTTCTCGCTTGCTTTTATTAAATGTAATTCGATTTTCCTTACATACAAATATTATTATCACGCAAAACAACGATATACGTTGTAATATAATCATAAAAAAATAACATGAAAAAAACATGGGAAGAAAGAAAACTCGACCGCATGAAAAGAAAACTCTCACCCAAAGAATTTATTGCAGTAAATGTACAATTGCGTAATAGAATAACATGAATTTGATATACCTCGCATCAATCAATTTATAATTAATTTTTATGAATATTTGTTCGTAATAGTATCGATTCAATTATTGAAAATTCCATATAACAATTAACATGAATACTATTTCATTTACCAATTCATTACTGATAATCGTCAATCATTTTTGAAATTGAATACATGCGAAAAAAAAAGAAAATCAATTCTCTCGATTCTCGATCGTAAAACGTAAACGAATTGCATGTAATGTAAATTAAATGAATCTCAAAATGATATTGAACGAACTTTTCTCCGATTTAAATTTAGATATACAATGTTTCAAGCGAATTAAACCGAATATAAATCATTCTTGATTATCGTCTGCCAATTATTTTAGTATCACTTTAATCGAAATGCACGAGTGAAAAATCTCTCTGAGAGGAAAATCGAACGTACGATTTTAATCATGTTTATGGAAAAGAAAAAACATGATTCGTGAAAATATTCTCACCTTTCTTTCGTCTCATCATCGACGAAGATCCAAGGATGTGTTACAAAAGTGTCGATGTCTACGTAACTACCTGGATATAAAGTGCCATAACTGATAGCCTGACCTTGATAATCGATCCAATAAAGGGCAACGATGCGTGTTGTACAGTTCGTAAATCTGACGAATGATATTTGGCTGTTGTCAAGTGAACGTAAAAAAGGTTCTTCGTTTCCAGCCATTTTTTTACAAACTTCTTTCTTGTTTGACTTTCTCCTATCTTTCTTCCCTCTCACGTGCTTTCTCTGTCTCTCTCTCTCTCTCTCTCTCTTTCTCTCTCTCTCTCTCTCTCTCTCTCTTTCTCTCTTTCTCTCTTTCTCTTTCTCTTTCTTTCTTTTTCTTTCACGTCCTTTCTTGGTACGATTTTCGATGACTGAAAATGAAATCGAAGAAGCCTTACGTTAATTACAAACAATATGTAACTTAAGTTTTCCATTCTCTCGTTTACTCCTTGTATTAAGAAGGTTTATTAGTATTACGTTATACTGCAGTAAAATGAAAATTTTTGAATTATACATCTATTATTATCGAACAACGCGTGCGAAAATAGATGATAGAAGGATGAATAAAATATTCGTAAGTTGGAACACGAAGCATGGAATAATATGGTTTACATAGTGTGTTTCGTGTTACAAGAGAGTTTATTGTTGATCGAGGCAAACGAAATTAACTTGGTAATTAAATCCAATTTATTCGATATGATTAACGAATGGTGGTTTCTATTATTTCACGATATTTTGATACACGAGACACAATTATGAACGTAAGTACGTACTCTATTTCATTTATTATAATATAATAATTGCATATGCAACAATGCCATAACGATAAGTAATTCGTGTACTAGATCATTTCTTTAACGATCCAACAAAGTTTTACACGTTATCTGATGGATGTGAATTTGAAATTCTCGAGTTTATTTGGAATACATAACAAATATTATTTGTATTAATGAGAATCATTCGATTTATAGAGTACATGGAGATAGAAGAAAAACGAAAAGAAACTTGTGATCTTTATAAACAATTCACTTGACCAAATTGCGAAACCAATAGGAATTAACGTTCTAGCATCTATCGACACATAACCACAATGAGCATCGAATTATGCTATAAACGCTATTTACATTGTAACCACGATTATCTTCTTCGTACATGCAAACATTGAGATTTTTGAACTCTCTTGTAATCCCATCGTTCAATATCAATATCATTTATTTCAAATAGTGATCCACTAATTCATCGCGAAAAAAATATAATACCGAGTTATTTTAATAATCACTTCGAACTGTTTCCATCTACGATACTTTATTTAATCTGTTTGTGATACAAGTTTTGTCACATATAAAAGAAAAATTATATATATATATATATACAAGGGATGCCATAAATATTTGAGTAAAAAAGATATCTCGCGATTGGTTGAATTTGAATATGAAAATTTAATAAGATAAAGGAATTTTGACGGCTTTAAATTAGATACAAAATGCATGTAAAAAAATGATCTTTTTTACTCATAACCTTTTAGTTACAAAGGTCATAGTTCATTTTTCTATTCTTTTTTTTTTTTAATGGATATTTATAACTTTGGTATATTTACACAGTAGTAATTATTTGCAATTAAATACAAATCAAATACAATATTGTATTTGATAAAAATTTATTACAGTACATCGGTTACAAATTAATCGGCATCTTAACAAATAACCAAGATTCACATTATATTGCAAATCATACTCCATGCTATACGAATACATTATATAATATATAAATTCATTATATAAATATGCCAAAAGTTATAGATATTCACTTAAAAAAAAATGAAAATTACGTCGATCTTCATAACTCAAAAAGTTCATAATTTAAAAAAAAAAATAAACTTCGACAAGTTGCAAGTTATTTGCTCGGATATTTATAGACACACACTCCAAATAAATAATATAAAATTTATGGTTTAACATTAAGATAACTATATTATACTAATTGTAGGTATAAGTTATATTGTACGAATAGCAATCTTTGTATATAAATTAATAATTAAGTACTCGTACAAAATTATTTATTTACATACATTCTTATGGGTAAGTGTATTTTTGAAAATTTTGATTAACTTTTAGATATGTTGTGACAAATTCATAGCAAATATCTCTATGAATACAATTTGATCCTACGAGCCGTTTCCGCACAACAAACTCTAGAAGATTCAGATTTAACATTTTTCGAGTCGATCGAATGTGTGCGCGAGCGCCCGTTTTACCTTTTCTCCTTTAGGAGAAGAAAATGGAATAATATTTGAATAACATAAATATATATATGCGTATATGTGATGCGAAGTAACTTTAAATTTATACAATAAATGGTTAAATGGTTAAGGAACGTACCACAACCATAATTTTAATGTAGTAAAGAATGATATAAAACTAAATGGTAATTCAATCAAAATTGTAAATATATTGTTTATTTTAACTAACTTTTATAATTAACGTAGAAATGACATAAAAAAAAAAAAACGTCAGAAATAATATAAAATGATCGTGATAACTGAGAAGAGACCTGAAGAGACATGATTATCTTTGTAATATATAGCTATAATCTTCGAATTCAGACAAGGATAAAAGTTCTAACCTTCGCGGAAAGTTCGCAGCCACCGCGAAAAAGAGTGGCCGCGATAAATCTCCAAAGATATACGGAATAACTTCTTATTGCCCCTCCTCGAGAAACATAAATCTTGCTTTTCCTGTCATCGCTAATTCCGACTCTGACGCACGATGACCCCAACTCTGCATTCGATCCTCAAAGGAATAACGTCCGCGATTCTCGTTTTCGTTACTTCAAAACGAAAGTAACGATCGACGATTTGATCAGAAAATAAATCGTTAATCCTCGAGAACTTTATGTGACTTTGAAATAATGCATCCATATATTTGTATTTTACAAATTCTATTTCATTTTTCTTCTTTCTTTTTCTTCACCACAAACCGACGCATCTTATTAGTCTCTCATTTCTTTTTGATCGAAGAATTTGTTTATTTTCAATTGCCTATTTCTCAATACCGCAGTCTTATTTATTTTTTCATTGTGTTAATAACCAAAAAAAAAATAACTATAAAGTTTGTGCAATAATCATCTGTTTTTGTTCCGTTTGTGTATTAATTTTGTATTTATTTACACGTAAAATAGTTTTTTGACTTCAAAGCCACAACGAATTATAACAATGAAATATCGAGTATTTTTGATAATGTTTGTGTGAATGTTATAGGTTTTAATCTTAAAATGATTAATTTAATGATGAATTTGAATATAAAAAAAAATATATAATTATTAATGATGATAATAAATCTATAAAAAAAAATCTCTATCATGGAAAAATAATACTATATTAAAAGAAATTTTCTAGAAAATTATATACTCTTAAAAATATCCCTTGTCCGTTCCATGGAGAAGTATTCTTTCTTACGATCCTGAAACATCTTATTTTCCTATTGAGTACTTTAGAAAATTACTTAATAGAAAATGTCCATCTTTATTTGATTCCAAATGAAAATTGTTTTACGTATTAAAACTTTCTTATTTAACGTTATATAAATCGGTTATTTAATATTATATAAATTTTTGTCTATAGGAAGGGAAAAAAATTAAAGCTATAGAGGATTAACGAGTTTCATTTGAAGATTTAATTTTTTATTAAACCTAACTTGACTTCATTTGATTAAAAATTTTGCTATCATCCGTAATAATAGTAATAATTATTGAAAATTTCTGATTTAGTAACTGTCAAATAAAAAGTAAAAAAAATAAATAATTGGACAAACTGGAGAAATCCACGAAGTCGTCTTCAAAGTTCAAACGAATTACATTTAACAAGAAACTTCGCGTGCATGGAAACTTCCTCCTTCTCTTTTCGACCTTTGTGAAGTTTCTCGTAAAAAACAAACGTGAGATTAGAACTTCCTCGTTCATTCTTCTCATTGTGACATCCTTCGTAAAAATCAAACGTGACCGACTCCAGGCACGCACGAAAATCGGGAGGTTTATCGATTCATTCCTATTATTTACTTATTTTACATGCAAAGGCGTAGTATCAATAAATTTTTCTTTAAAATATCAAATAAACCAAAAATGAAAAAAAAAGAAAAAAAAATAAAAGGGAGAAAAAGATAAAGAGAGAGAGAGGGGGGGGGGGGAGAAGGAGAGAAAGAGAAAATAATCAATAAGAATATTAAACAAATTTTATCGATATCGATTCATTACTTCTTATAATATAATCCACCAAAAAAAAAAAAAAAAATAAATATAAAAAATGGAATCATCGATCGTATTATTTTTCCAACCAATTTAAACGAACATCTAATCAATCTTTATCATTACTTAGAGAGAAAGATTAATCTTGCCCGCACGTTCTAATCTAAACTAAAATCAATGTCTAAGTAATCAAGAAAATCAAAGAGTATTTCTACGCCATTGAAGAAGGTTAGTCGCAGGCGGTTGACGAAGGCGCATCATCGTTCATCATCCACTTTTTGTTGGCTCACCGAGTCGATCCTAGAATGGATTAGAGGCACTTAGAAAGCCGATAGCGATGGAATCGAGAAGCTATTTCAACTCTCGTGCCATCTAAATTACCCCTTACTGTGCCGTCTGTCGCTTTATAGTATCGACGGTCACCTGTAATTTGCCTTCGCGAGTTCTCTTGGGAAAAGGCTATAGAAAAGGTTGAAAAGAGAGAGAGAGACAAACAGAGAGAGAGAGAGAGAGAGAGAGAGAGAGAGAGAGAGAGAGAGAGAGAGAGAGAGGAGGGAGGTAGGGAGGAAGAAAGAGAGAGAGAGAAACGTTCTCTCTACAAATAAAGTTCTTACTCATTCGATCGATCCGTATCGCCAAGCGAAATTCACATTTATTTGTTGGAATAGAAGATACTCGACCTTTCGTATTCCTATTTCGAACTTTTATTTCTTATTCCAATATAAAACTTCAAATATGGAAACGCATGACCACAACTGGAGAACTGTATCTATTATATATATGAAAGTTTGTCCCAATAATAATATTTAAAAAGACTTTAAATAAACAAGAGATATTGGGAAAGAACGATCGATAAAGAGAATCTTTATCGACCTTTTCACATGTGTTTACTGATATATGAGATACATCGATCTCTCTTCTGAGAAATAACTTTCGCACGAAATCGTTTGTTAAAAAATATGAATGAGAATTAAACGGTAAGTATCGTTCGAAATGATTAAAGTTCTGTTTTAATATCGTTTGAATCAAATCTTCGATTAAAATAATACAAGACTCATTATTAGATTTTTACACCTTTTTCTTTTATAACGTTTAAAGTATCCAACTTTCAAGTATGCCATTCTATGAATCT